TCCGATTTGACTCCATCAGAATTAAACGCCAGCAGAGTATGGTATAACAATGCAGAATTCAGGGCACTTATTGCCGCTTGTGATATGTTTTGGAATAAATTTCCAGACGCATACGGTGCCCAACTAAGGGTGTGTACTCTGAGCTCAAGGTTTAAGGATTGCTCTTCAATAAGCGAAATAAGGCACCTGTCATCTGTGTCAGCAAAACCGGTAAATGATATCTTTAAATATATATTTAACGAGAGAATCCGTGATGAGGTCGTGAATATAGGTAAAGCAGGAGAGGAGTTCTCTCAAGAGGATTCTTACTTCCCTTATATGAGGGAGTTAAGATTGTCAAAGAGATCCCCGTATTCATCCACAGTCAACGAGAACCTCTACAACTGGATCCACATGTTTTGTGCCCTTATGGGGAGTGAAAGGTCGTATAATGCTAGATTGGTCAGCGATAACGGGCTTGCTATAATGATGAATTTAGCACTTTTCGCTGCCAATGCATTCAAAAAGTACACCGTTCCAAAATTGTATTTGGAGATGCTACGAATGCAGCAGAGGCCCAGGCAATCAATGATGAAGATGAGAATGACGACGGAGTGCCTCCGGAGATTGACGCATACTCTGCTCTAGGGGTTTATCAATACATGATTGAAAATGGAAACGTAGTACCACAAGATATCATTAATGACTTTGCTCAATTCCTTAGCGGACTTCCGGCCCCTAGGGAGAAGACAATAGGTCAATTCTTAAAAAGGAATCTTACTATTAGAAGAGATCCTTAATTTCTTGCTTTACCTGAAACAACAATAGTTTATATACGAGCATACTTGTATACGAAATAACAATCTGCCTATATCAGCGTTAATCAAAGAAAAGGCAATTTATTTTGCTCAGAAATTTGGTTTTATCGATTTTCGTGCAAGCTCTGGATGTTTAGATAAATTTAAATCGAGACATAATGTTGTGTTTAAAGATATTTGTGGTGAGAGTGCTAATGTCCAAGAAAATGACTGTGATACATGGAAATTAAATGTTTTACCAAAATTAATTGAAAAATTCAATCCAAAAGATATTTTTAACGCTGATGAGACAGGTTTATTTTTTAAATGTTTACCAAACAAAACGTTAACTTTTAAAAATGACAAATGTTTCGGAGGTAAGCATAGTAAAGAGCGAGTTACTTTGATGGTGTGTTCTAATATGACTGGAACTGAAAAACAAAAACTTCTAATTATTGGAAAAAGCAAAAATCCAAGGTGTTAAAATGGGATAAAAAGGCATAAAATCAATTGAAACAAATTACGATTTTAATAAAAAAGCATGGATGACATCATTAATTTTTGAAAAGTGGTTACTAGATATTGATCAAAAAACGAGTCAAGAAAATCGAAAAATAATTTTATTTGTGGATAATTGTACTGCTCATCCTCGTACGAATACGTGTATGAATAGAGAGTATATTATATATAATTGTATTTATATAAACATGTTTAAGAGAATAAATTTAAAAAAAAAATGTATGATCATAGACTTGGCAAGACCTTAAAGCCAAAACTAAAAAAAAAAAACTGATATTAAAAGTGACCTCTCTGGAACTGGTGGAGGGCCTCCTCAAACTGAACAGTTAGATTCTGTAGAAGCGAGGATACTAGGTACAATAGGGGAAGTACCATTAAGTGGGGATCCTTATGTCCACGAATCAACTGTGAGTTTTGACTATCAGGATTCAAACAAGTGTGTGTCAGAATTTGTTGATCCCCTTGATATGCCTGCCACTTCTAGTAACTTTCAGTAAGTTATTTATAAACTACCAAATAAAAATAAATAAATAAAAATAATTAATTATTTTCTGTTGTAATCTATCTATATTTTATAAAAGATACTTACAACCAGCACAAACGTCTCAAAATATTAGTGAGAGTATAATGGATACTCAGCCAACCAAAGAACCATTTACCGAGTTGTCTCAACTGAAACGGTATCCAATATAAACTTAACTTAGAAATGTGATATAACTTATAGTTAAACTAATTATTGTTAATGTACTTTATATATAACAGTGTTGTGAAGTTCTCAAAAGCAGATAGGTTAAGGAACACAGTTGAAGCCACTAATAAACTGAATGAAGTATCTGAAGCCCGTAATGCAATAGTGGAGACCTATTACAATGCTAAGATTGAGTTACTAAAAAAACAAACTGAGCTAAATGAAAGGATGGTAATTGCTAAAGAAAGGAGTGCCATTGCCAAAGAAAGGAGTGCCATTGCTAATGAAGCAATTGCAAGAGCTTTAGCAATGATGTTACCACAAAATCTTTCAAACAGCCACACTACTAGCACAGAATAGATTAAATGCTAGTAGTACCTACGTCTAACCATCACTATTACACTTAACTTACACTACTTTATACTCTATACCTTAATCTTTAAATTTAATAATTACCACTTCTATAATCTATAATAATTATTAATTACATAATATTAATATAAAAATGTTAGGTGATAGCACTAATAACTAATAAGTAATAACATAGAAGTATTACACTGAACAACTAATAAGTAATAACTAAAAAGTATGTGTGTGTGTGTGTGTGTGTGTGTGTGTGTGTGTGTGTGTGTTGTCAATACTTAAACATAACCTTGAAAACTATTATAATTATTAATTATATGATTTTGAATTGTTATGTTTTTGTATTGTACACTTGTACACTACAACATACATAGTACATACTACATAGGGTAAGAGTACCATGAATGAACATTACCAGTGAATGAACAAATTATACTTTATATCGTATTATTAAGAAACCCAGTGCACGTACACTTTATATTTATAATAAATAAAACAATCATAATATTCTTATGTTGCCACACGTGATTTTTCATGAACATACGAACAATTCTCATTTATATGAAATGATAAGTTTTCCCTCCAATTTGTAAATGATACTGTTATTATCATTTTTTTTAATTTTTTATTATTAACTGAAATATATTACTATATTATACAATGATATATGTGTATAACTATCAATTTTATATTGCCTAACCTAATAAATTTATTATTAAGGGGATTCGATGCAGCGTATTTATTTCATGATTTAGACCTAAAAGCCTAACCAAAATACGCCTACTTAGAATTATCAGATTTTAATTCTGTAAAAAGATTCGAGTTCATTGACAATCTTCGCACACAAACACACTGCGAAACGAATATAATACATCGAATTGCCTATACACGACCCCTTATTAAATCACCTCCTCGAACCCCCTTAAGAGTTAAAGTTCAAAACGTAGTTATATTTTCAGCAAAAATACTGTTTGTTCATTCACTAGGAAAGGTTGTTTTTTAGGGTTTATTCGTTTTAATTATTTATTGATAACTAATTTAAAATAAATATTATAATATTCTTGCACAGAATCATGTATATTGTTACAAAATACAAAATAATATTTCAATATTACACTCTTTTTTTTATAGCGACCTTTCCGTTCTCGATCCCTGTGTCTCTTTTTGTTTTACTTCTGTTTTTTTTTTTTGCACGATGGCGAGAAAGTCGATGACACCGTCACAAAAAGAAGCTTTGGTGGAATTTATGGAAAACCACCCCGATCTAAGGAAAGGCAAGTTTTCCATAAATTTTACAACGGAAATAGCAAAAAAAAATATGGGTGGAATGCCAAACTATGTTGAACAGCATCCCCGGACCGGCCAAAGAATGACATGAATGGCGAAAAGTAATAATTGATACTTAATAATTGAAGTTTGTATTATATTATAAATATTGATGAAACAAACGAAAATTCTAACATAAGATATTAAGAAAATATCTAAAATAAAAATATTTACCCCATAATCAAATATCACTGTAGGTACATATTTAAGAAAATAGCTCTAGTATTAATTTAAGTTAATCACTTAACATATTTTAAAATATTTAAAAAAAAAAATAACATTAAGTCGACAATTAATTAAGCATTTCTGTTTTAGTAGGTACTTCTCGAAATATTTTTGTTATTAATTAAATAATCCCTAAATCATAACATAATATGATATGCAGTGTATTAGATATAATCAACTAGTTTTTAATATATATTATCTTAACTTTCAAAACATAATTAAGTTAGAATTAAATTAATATCGTAATGTGTTTGATGCATATTGTATATAAATAATTATAATCATAAATAAAAGGTGATTAATATATTTTAATAAACCTTATTATTAAATATTAAGGGATACATATTAATACATTATATATATAATTAAATACCTACCTATTAAGGAGCGCGCACACCAGATCCGTTTCGTTACGTTCCGTCACGTCACGTCTCGGTTTCCGTCGAACGGAAAGCTTTGCATATTATAAATTCTTATGAACAGGCGCACACAGGTTACGACACGTATCGACACGTCGCATCTTGGAAACGTCAGGTGACGGATATATTGCTGTTTAGGGCAAAATTGACGGACGACGGACACAACTTGTCAGCATTTCGATCATTTTTCTCTGTGTGGTACAAATTTGTATTTTTGTTTAAAGTTGTTAAAGCACTTTAATTACACTATTAAATAATTTAAGACGAAATACTGATTGAGTGTGTTCGCAAATACGCTTTTATTTATGATCCAACCGAAAAAGGACACGCTGATATGCGATTGCTAAAGAATGCATGGGAAGAAGTAGCAAAGACAGTGGGAAAGTTCTGGTAAGTATAATTTATTTCATTGAACATTTGAACATTTGAACATTTTATAATATTTCTACATAGTTAAAATGCTGTAAGACTTAACTAAAAATAAATTTGTGTACACACATACCAAAATTATATTAATATAAAAAAAAATATTTAATAATTATGTTTTACCTTTTTAAAAATGATTAAAAAAACTGCTGTATATAATTTATTTTAAAAACAATACCTACTACCTAATCTACTTAATAATATTATTCTATAAAATATTTAATTTTAATTTAATTTTAGTATAGGTAATATTCGTTTTCAATGATTACTTCGGGTTGTAAACGCTTTCTCCCACTGCCACGGTACTGAACCATCTGACACGAAAAACTGTTTGAAGTTTTCTCTTATAATAAATGCTTCTCTTGGATTATTTCCTCCAACTCTTGTAAAGTTGTTCAACCCTTCTGGAGTATTTGTATACTCCAATTCTCCTGGTTGCCAATAACATTTATCATTCCGCAAAAAATTATGCAACACTGTCGTCGCCAATATAACTGTGTCCATGTTCTCTAGTTTTAAGTTGAATTTTCTGTTATAAATTTTAAATTTTTTTGCCAATATACCGAATGCATTTTCAATTACACTTCTAGCTCTGCAATGGCGGTAGTTGTAGACCTTATTGTCTCGATTATTTTCAAGTGCGTTCCCTGGAAACGGTCTCATTGTATTTTTAGTGAGAGGAAATACTTCATCGCAAACGATCACATGAGGGACGATTACGTCTGAAAGTGGTAACGATTTTGGTGGGGGGATATTTAAAGTCCCATTAGCAAGGGCTTGTCCCAAAGATGATGATCTAAAAATTCCACCATCACTGTTTCTCCCGTAAGCCCCAACATCAACAGTTATAAACTTATAATCTGCATCAACAAGAGCTAACAATACAATGCTGAATTCTTTTTTATAATTAAAGTACAGAAGCCTGTTTTTGGTGGTTTTTCAATTACGCAATGTTTGCCGTCCAATGCACCTATGCAATTCGGATAGTTCCAGATTCGCCAAAATTTTTCTTCAACTCGTTGCCATTGTTCCACAGTCGGTTGGGGCATATAGATAGGTTGCAAAACTTCCCATATGGCTCCACATGTATCATAAATTATTTTACGAACTGTAGACTCGCCAATTCGATTGCTAAACGAAATAGTTGCAAAAGAGTCTCCGTAACCTAAAAATCTGCAAAGAAAAAATGTATAATTAAGTCAAAAAAGGAAACGTAGATAAGTATGTCATTTTATCGTATAAAATTGGTCGTTAAATAGTTGTAATAGTTGCTTTTAACAGACGGCTATAAATTATAATAAAAATAAAAATTTATAATATTAATATATATTTTTTGATATAATTAATACCAGAGTTGTGAAAAATGTTATCAACATAATAATTTAAAAAAAAATAATTCGAATAATTTGAAAACATAATTATTAATGCATTTGTATAAATGTATTTATAATTTATTAATTATTTATTCGAATATTAATCATATTATAGATTCTGAGCGAAGCAATGATATGTATTGATTCTATAATGATGTGTGTTTTTTTTTTATTTGTATTTGTGTACACAATAACAGTATAGTCGAAATAAAAATTTGATTAAGTTAATTTAAAATTCTTAGTCTTTCTCAAAAGCACAACAGAAAAATAAGGAAAAACTGAAATTTTACACAAATTTAGATTTTGACAAAATCGATTTTGGTATTTAATTCTAAAACAAATTACCCTAAATACATGATATTTAACACTAAATGTTTATAATAATATTTTATATACACTATAAATATTTCAAAATATGTTGACTTAATTTGAGCTGTTTACGAATATTTTAAATTTAAAATTTTTTCTGTTTTTTACTACAAATGTCAATACAATTTATTCAAGTTTTTTTACTAAGTGAAAAATAAATTCTACTTTTTTGTCATAGAATGCAAAAAAAGATGGACCAGTCTTCGCGACCAATTTCGGCGAAATGTTTTAAAGAAGAAAACAGTAAGTGGTTAGAGTGCAGACACACGTGTGAAATGGAGGTATGAAGACACATTATCTTTTTTACTACCACACACGAGGGAGAGGGCTCAAAAATCAAATTTAGCTCCTGAAAATAATTCAACAGATTCGATCAACAACGAAACTTTTATTCAAGATGACGAAATAAATATATCTTTTGGAAATTTAGATCAGTTATCAGTCCCAAATAGTTCTACGAATTCGAACACATTTCCCTCATCATCTTCGTCTTCAACTGCAGCCACAACGACTGTTTCCAGTGTAACCGATTATAGAGACACTATTCCGAGTAGTAACAAAAAAAGTAATAAAGCACTTCATCCACAGCCAACGACTGCTCAAGTTCTGGAAAAATACTTAGCTTCAAAAAAAGCCAAATTAGAATCACCTAGTGATCATATTGGGGCATTTTTTGTTGCTATGGAAGCAACCACTAGGAGACTGCCTCCAATTCTTCAAATTGAAGCAAAGGCCAAAATAAGTGCGCTACTCTCAGATTTGGAGATGAAAGCTTATCTTTCCAATGAAAATAAAAATAATATTGATTCGTCACTTCAAAGCACATCTACCAACGAATATCAAGTATGTATTACGCCAACTGCTTCTCCCAGTAGCCCAGTTGATTTTTCCAATCATGGACATCGTGTTAGTTATGAAAACGTGACTGGTTATTCAACAGCCTCATCGGTAACAGAAAATCCTAGTAGTGGCCATGAAGATTTTTTTGAAGTTAACAGCGTAGATAAGAATTACTACAACCTCTAAAATGTCACATTTTAGACTTTTTTAAATATTTTATTTTAGGTATTTTTCATAATTAAAAATGTCTCATTATTATATTAATTGTTTAAATAACTGTACCTACTTTTATACTATATAATTAATATACTTCTAAATTGTATACATCTTTTTTAATAAAACATTTTAATTAGGTTTTATAATTTTTAAAATAAATAAATTCTTTGCAGGTAATATTACAAAAAAAAATATATAATAATTTTTAAATCTTAATTTTTAATAGTGCTTAACACTGTTTAATAAATAGTAATAATATTAATTGCTTTTGTTTAATAAATTAAAACTATGTTTACTTACTTTAGGGTGATTGCTAATCTTTCATCCGGAGGAATACAACGTCTAAAATTTGTATCTTGCTTTTGTAGTTGCGGCAGCATGTTAAGCAGTTCAAAAAATTTTTGCGAACTCATCCGGAAATATTTAAAAAATTTGGCTTCATCCTGAAGAAGGTCTGGAAATAATGTATGAAATTCTCCGTGCTCGTCTCTTTTTAAATTTATGTTATGAACCCATAAACGTTTTTTTTCTCTTTTCTCTTCCTCATCTGCGATACTTGCTATTACGAGAAGTTCTTCGTCCAAAGAAAAGTCCATGGTGAAATTACAATAAAGTAAAATAAAAAAATAAACTTTAAAACCACGATGAAACATACACCACTAAGTTCAAACGTAGAGTGACGAATCCTTTAGGTAGGACAAGACGGAAAGAGACGCATCTAGTGTGCGCTTTTTCACCGTTCCGTCACGTCACGTCTCCGACCGTCTTCGTGACGTAACGTGACGGAACGTAACGAAACGGATCTGGTGTGCGCGCTCCTTTATTCGGTCATAATAATTTTTTTTTTTAATTGATCCTTAAGCCCGGCTTCTATGGCCATTAGCTGTTTGTAGGGTTGTATTGTGGTGGTGGTAAGGTTTGGAATGGTAGGTTTTTTTACACGTGAGTGTCGGGCAGAATTTTTGATTGGGCACCCGTAGGTATCTGCCATGCCCGGGTGGGGGATGGCGGCACTTGTTCTCCGGACACCGTGACTTGTCCGAAGAAAAATGCCACCGGGTGACCAAGGCTTGAACCCGGATCGGCTGCGCCGCAGCTGACGCGTTGGACCGCTCGGCCACCTCGTCCCCCTTGGTCATAATAAGTAGTAGATACTTAATATCGGAATGCACCATAATAAATTATAGTTATTTCAGTTATATTATTATACAGGATGATCATTTTATCATGAACTACTCACTATATCAAAAAACTATTAGCTTTTAACGTTTATGAAAATATTATTTTATATAGCTTGTATATGTTGTTACAAAATAATCTTTTTTAAAAAATTATATTTTCTACCATTTTTTATCGTAAATTTTTATTTACTTGAACGTAACACATTTAAATATAATGTCAGCCAATGACAAAGCCGAGTCTTGATTTTAATAAAAAAATATATATTAATATTATATTCTGAAGCAGGAATATCTCTTGGAGTATTTTAATACTTACATAAAAATCAAATTTAGAGTGGGAGTGGAACAAGTACCTCGTAAAATGTTTATCTATTACTCCTCTTATACTCTATACTTTCACATAATATATGTATATTTTAGTAAATAGGTACATAATGTTGCTTAACTTTATATTGATCATAGGTGGGTACATAATGTTGTTTAACTTTATAATGATCATAGGTATTAGAAAAAAATGTGTGAAATATAATATACAATACATTGATATTGGTATAAATAATAATATAATTAAAAAGTGTATTAGCTTAGGTACTAGGTTCATATAAATGCGTAATTAAATCGGGCTCCATTACAGCGTAAATGATTATTCGTATACGAATAATAGGATTCTACTACGATACACCACACGACCCGTTCGTAGTAGAATCCGGTAGTAGAATAGAATCCGTTCGTATACGACCGGCGTTCAAGAATACGGTTTTGTCAAAGTAGTAGAAAAAGTACAAATATTCGTATACGACTATCGTTCTACTACTTTCAAGAATAGGCCCCCTGGTCTGCTTCAGACACGGACTACGCGTGATATACGCTATAGCTCTATCCAGTGTATATGATCTAAGGAGAATATGATTTATGAACGGACAGTCGTCAGTCGGCGACCGGTGATCAGCGAAGTCTTATCGCTGATATAATATTATCACCAGACACTAAATTTACTTTAATCTAATATATTATTATCTACCATATTATTACTAATTGGGCAATTGGGAAAATTGTTATATAAATGAAATATGAAACATATTTTTTTGAATGTAGGTATCTTAGTATCTAGTATCTTAATCATAAAAAGATACTAGATACAAGTCAATAAAGTATTTAAATACCTACCCGATACAAGATACATTCAAATTATTGAATTATTGTATCTAAGATACTGCCCTCCTTATAACACATATAATTACATTTTCCAGTCAATTGTACGATACTGCCACCGAAAAAATAATGTGGTATATGACCTTATCAAGACCAATGTTATAGCTGCTAATGTGTTGAATTAAATGATATTACCTATTTTTAAAATGAAAGTATTAACAAACACCCATAATTTAGATATTAGCACTAGCCCATCTACCAGCTACCAGAGGTCATGCAGATTGCCAACAATTTTGTATTGAAGATGGCTTTAGAGAAATTATAGCCTATATCCAGCAGTATCCAGACGTGTATAATCGTATGCAAACATTTTTATTTGAGTATGTTTACTCAAATACATAACTAATGACTCAGTTAAATTTGAAGTTGATATAAATCTGAAAAAAAGATAAAAGCATTAATATCATACATTAATATTAATGCATAATAATGAAAAATACATACATAAAATTATAGTATTATTTTTTTTTATCTACTAATTAATTAATGCATACATAAAAAATGTTTGGCTGAATCAAGTTAGACCAGTTTTTTTTAGTGTTTTTGGTAGTGAAATTAGGACTAATAATTACTTGGAGTCTTTTCATAGCCAGTTGTTAAGGTTTTTTGGAAATCACCCAAATATCTGGGACTTTTTACCTAAGAATCTTTGAAGTATTGTTATTTCTATACAAACTAATTACACTTTATTATTTATAGAGAAACTAAGAATTTTAGAAAATCAATTCTTTGTAGAATTTATACAAGCCAGCAAAAACGTAATAGTACTTACTTTATTTTTTAAATATTTTAACTCTATATAAATTATTAATATATACATACTGTCGTATACGTCACGTAAAGGCTTGGCGTATATAACAGGTATATTTTTGGTTTCTGATTCTCAAACCGTCAAACGAGTAAGTTATCGACACCTGCAGCATAAGCTTATTTAAGTTCTCCTTTTGGTGACCACGATAACGAGTACTGCACAAAAGAACAATTAAATAAGATACAACAGGATTTACACTATACAACTCTAAGGTTGCTTTACTCTCGAACAACTGACCACGATAACGATGACTGGATGTTCGAGGGTGAGATATCTTTAACCTAGGCAAAGTATTACTCTTTCTCGACTGACCACGATAACGAGTACTGGACGAGAAAGTAAGTACTACAATGTCTTGTTACCTTTTTTCATAGTGTTTCACACCACAATTAATGTCCCCGTACGCACACGTGAGAATGTAAAATAGATCACTCTAGAACGGAAGACAAGAAAACAAGTAACATCTTTTTTTAAAAAAAAATATAAGTTTGAAATATAATAAAAATCGATGTTTCCAAAAACAAATAATTAAAAGAAAAGAAAAGAGTTGTCGTTCACAACGGCACCTTGCCGCTGAATGAACAGCCTCGCTTCCGTAGTTGCTGTCGCCTTAAGTAGCCATTCATATTTTGTTGACTCGGCATCCTTGACGTCTGCTTCGTATGTGGTCATTTAATTTGTGATCGATGAAATAATAAACCATTTGAACAAACAAAATATATTTAATTAATAATAATATTATAATGCCGACTAAAAATGCATGTGTTTTATGTCTACGGTCTGTTTATAAAAATCCAGGATTATCTTTATTTGGGTAAATCTAGTGTTTTTAGTTTTAAACAATGCACAATAAATATTATGATGTAATTAAATACATTTTAATTAGATTTCCTAAAGATCCATAACGTCTTAAGATCTGGCTTATGAAATGCGGATTCACTTTCAATGGCAGGCAAGAATGTATGACATAAATGCACCAAAATAATTTTATTTAAAAATCAGTAGGTAATAGATATTGAGTACCTACCTATTGTCCCATTCTATTATTCCGTATATTACCTTTTGAGTTATATAACACTAGTTTCTAATACACTTGTTATTATTATTTTATATTTATGACTATGCATAAGTACATAATGTTAGTTGTTAATAGTTAATCTTAATACATTAAAGTAATATATTTTATATAATACATAATAGTATTATGTAGGTCTAATAACAGTTATAACAAAAAAGAAATAACAATTGAAGAAACTTAAAAAACATATTTTATAGTTGTTAGTGTTGTTACGTCTTGTTAGTTGTTTATCTTAACTGCGCGTCAGCACTCTGCGCCAAACATTAATGATAAGAGATTGAGAGCAATTATTTAAACATGACATGTTTTGATAAGCCTGATATTGATAAATTACAATTTGGTTATCACCATACGATTCCAGTGCTACCAATAACACTAATACCTTGTTTTACCCGACTACCCCATTTTAACCAACTCTCCCACACTATAATTTGATTTGCAGCAATGTCTCCTAACACCTTCTTTAGAAAGTTCTGTAGATTTTTACAAAATACAATTGTGAACAAACCTACAAATCTTAGTATTCATAATTACCCTACTTTCCAAGCATCTTGTTACATTTTATATGAATCTATTGTAAAACGTGTGACTAATAAAATAGGTTGAATGAAGGTTCCATTACCTTAATAATCTCCCAAAAAATATAACGAATGTCATCATGTATAGTGATTGTTGCTCTGGGAAAAATGAAAATTGTATGATTGCTATATGCTTATATTTTTTAAATTAACAAGGCACTATATATATATATATATATATAATAAACCATACATTTATGGTGAATGGTTTGGATGGAATATGATGGAGATCATGGAAAGATAGAAAAAGCCAAGAAAACATTTTCTTCATCTATATGACTATATACCACTCACAAGACTGGATTAAATTTAATACATTTTGACGGAAAAATTAATTTTCTGTAGTTCGCCTACTATATGCCCCGGATCTTACCTTTAAATTTTATTACAGATCATTTCACTTTAATTTGAGAAATTAATATGATTATAATCATTATTTTGAGCGTAAAATGAATACTGAGAGAAAACAAATACTGCACTGAAATCCTCTTAATATACATTTGGAATGCATTATAGACTTTTGAATTAATAATAACCGGTGAAATAGGTACGAAATATATATCATAAAGTAGGTACATGACTTTGGAGAGTCCAATAATCCTGGAGACTAGTAAATACATCACCTGCTAAGTTGGAAAAAAAATATTATGATATAATATACAGTCTATTCAACGAGAGAATAATAATTTTTTGAGCATCACGAATGATTCGATTGGTGCGTCGAGAACCAAGTGATCACGTTAACACCTGGTTAGGTGAGGGACTAGAATAATTTATAATTGGTGAAATGGTTACAATTATAGATGTTGAATTAACTTTAAAATAATTAAAATTACAACCTTTGAAAGACCTTATTCAGACTATACTATGTGGTGTTGTTTGTTGATACCACATAAGGCTTAGGTATGTGGTATGAACACCAAGCTTCTTGTTGCCGCCGCAACATAACAATAATATTTTAATTATCACTGGTCACGGAGGAACAGCTGGTCTCACACACATATCACTTTATTTGTATTCTTTTATTTTCGTATTGAATGTGTCTTGTTTTATTTTCGTATTGAATGTGTCTTGTGAGTTATATAATATGTAGATTAAACTTTATCGCCCGCCGCCGCGCCGTCTACACGAATATTATTGAACACGGCCGCCGTGAATCTCTCGTTCAGTACGTTGCCCCGACCGTATCAACGAGTACATAAAATATTATTATCAACTGTTTATAACAATCATTAACAAGTTTTTTTATGTGAAATTTATCATTTTTTATTGTTTTTTAATAAGTGTGAATACCAGAAGGGCCTAATTTTTTCTGTAATTCTTGTTGTATTTCGATGCTAAGCGTCAAGGGCATTTTTATATCTTTAGTACCTAGTCTACCATGGAAGCCATAAAGGCAGCATATTATATTATTGTTAATTTATTGTGGCATTACCGTCCATTATTTATATTATTATAGGCTATAGCACAGGACCATCTGGCCAGTCTGCCCTACACAAATTGTGAGTTCTTTATTATTATTGATTAATTATGCATTTAAATCTGTTGAGCCATAAGGGCCGCAGATATTTTCTAATTATTATAGTATCGTGCCAGAAGGGCCACAAATGCTTTTTATATTTTATACTTATCTTATGTAAGCTAACAGCTCATTAGCTCAAATAGCTATTATTTATTATAATTTATTCCAGTTGGCCATAAGGGCCGTATATTTATATAATCTAATCAATTGAGTTATTATCATTTATACAGTTGTGTCTGTGAAATTATTACTGTGATCCTTGTATCACTCAATATTCACACATTATTAAGGTCGGGTGGGGTAAGTGAAGAACTGGGGCAAGTGGCTAATTGAGTCCTATAAAATACTAAAATATGTTTGAACCAAAAGTTACACTGTAATATACATTTACAATATCTTTGGAATACGGCAAAAATAATGATTACAGTCTATTATCTATACAATCTATGTTATCGCATAACCAAAATCTGGTCCGTTATCATAACGTATTTTTTTTTTGACAATCATTCAAAATTTTTTTTCATATTGGATTGTTGAAAACTAGATCTCCGAAACTTAGTAAGTATATGTTTTTTTAATTGTAGTTTACTGTGTAACGGTAATAATTACTCTTTTTTGTAATTTTCTGATATAATTGATCAATTATTCACTTTCCCCACAAAAAAGAGTATTGGGGCAAGTGAGACAATGACCATGGGAAAGTGCATAATGATGTGTTTCACTTGCCCCGCATAGAAATTATTTTGATTTTTTTATAAAAAGAATGTTTAATAAGTATTTTTTTATCCAAAATAGGTAAGATGGTGCGTAAATATTTGAGGAAATCTACTAGAGCAAACCAATATACAAAAGATGACCTCACTCTAGCGAAAAATGCAATCTCTTCAAAATTATTGACAATAAAAGCAGCTTCACTTTTGTACAACATACCATGTCCTACTTTATACAATCATGTAAGTGGATTTCGTGGACAAAAGTCTACAACATTTGGACGCCCTACGGCATTGGATTACTAAGTGGAGAAAAAGTTGGCAGATCTGTTAAAAACAATGGAAAGGTATGGATTTGGTCTCAGCCGAAAAGATGTTCTAACTTTGGTTGGCAATTATATAAACGACAATAAAATTAAAACCCCTTTTAAAAATGGATTTCCTAATGAGGACTGGTGGCTCTCATTTTCAAAAAGACATAATTTGAGTATTAAAAAACCACAAATGGTCGAATACTCAAGAAAAAAAGACCCTTTCATAATATATAATTATTTTGACCTATTATGGAAAACTATGGTAGACTTAAAGATTGAAGACCGACCAGACAGAATTTGGAATTTGGATGAAACCTCATTCTGCCTGGACCCATCCAAAACCAAAATTGTTGGAGAAATTGGAGTAGCAGCTACACGTACCACACATAGTTCTGAAAGAGAGAACACCTCTGTTTTGATGGCATGTAGTATTGGACAAAAAGGTTCTCCCTTAATTATATTTAAGGGAAAAAGTGTTTGGGATAAGTGGATTGGAGATAATTCAAGTTTTACAGGAACCACATATGCAGTGACATGTAATGGTTGGATGGAAAAGGCAGTATTTTTAAATTATTTTGAAAAATCTTTCCTAAAAACAACAAGTCCTTCTCCAAAAAACCCCATACTTCTCATTTATGATGGGCATTCGTCCCACGTAGATTTAAGCTTAATGGAAATGGCGGTTAAAAATAATGTTACTATTTTATTGCTACCTCCACATTCCAGCCATCTTCTTCAACCTATGGACTTAGCCGTGTTTAAGTTAGTAAAGTCTACTTGGGATCAACGTCTATGCAATTGGTCAAGGCATCATCAAGGGCAAAAACTACCCAAATCTGAACTATCTATATTAATTTGTGAAATTTGGGCAGATATGGATATACAGATTATAAAAAATGGTTTCAGAAAAGCTGGTATTCATCCATACAATAAGTTTGTAATTGAAAGAGAACGATTTGATCCACTTAGTCTTTCTAGATGGGATACCCGGGAAATGTCCCAAGTTTATGAAGAAAGTCACAGTTATAATATGGAACAAACAGAAGTACAACCATCCCAAGAACATTCCAACCATCAATCTTCTTATTTTTCTTTAGAATTGCATGAACAGGTACATGAGTCAACAGCTATTCATAATAATATAGAACAAACAGACGTACAATCATCTCAAGAAAATTCCAACCTCCAGTCTTCTTTTTCTTTAGAATTGCATGAACATGTACATGAGTCAACAGCTATTCATAATAATGTTTCATTTGAGTCGCTATTAATTAATTCTTTAAAACAAATTCCTGCAACAAAAACTACTAAACGGAAAGTTGTCAGTGGGGCTCAAGTAATAACATCAGAAGAAGCAATAAATATAATGAGGAAAAAAGATGAAGAAAAAAATTAGCCAAAAAAGAAAAAGAAAAATCAAGAAGAGGAAAATCCTTTAGAAGTAGTAGAAGATCATATTCAACATCTTTTAGATCAAAATTTAGACACTGAAAATGAAATCCTTGATGATAATTTAAAAGAAAACTTAACTCAATCTAGTGATGAAAGTGACCTGTTAAACGAGTTGGAGAGAGAAATACAAGATAAAGCTGAAGATTTATTCTTAAATAAATCTGAGAATAGAATTGGTGACTGGGTTTTAGTGGAATATAAGGTTGCAATAAAAGGCCAAAAAAATAAATTTTATGTCGGTATTGTTGAAGATATTAAGGATACACTAGCTAGAGTGAGGTTCCTTAAACTCAAATCTCAATCCAGAAAAAATACAACATTCATTTATCCAGTAAATGAAGATATTGATGACAAAGTAGAACTTACAAATATAAATTGTCATTTACCTCTGCCTAAAGTAGGAAGAAGGGGTGGGGTGAATTAGTATTCATGATAAGTTTTGACCAGTAAAATTTAAGATAAGTAACTAAAAAGTCTGATTTAATAATTTCTGTGATAAGTATAAATATTTATATTCCTATTACTATTACTTACTATTTTACATATTATGTTGTTATTGGTATTTATAAGTGCTTATTATGTTTTTTTTTGTTTTATCAGGTAGATTAAAAATATTTTTTTTGTTTTTTTTTAAATTGTTATTATGTATGTATTAATTTTTAAATTGTTTAAACAGTTAAGTATTAATTTGAATAAACGTAAACTGAGTATTAATGGTAAAAGTAACCTAACAAAATTATGTTATAAAAAATAAAATGTTAAATGTGCTGTAATTTGTTTATGAATCGTGATAATTTAACTCTAAAAATACCATTTTGTAGCTTAAAAAATATAGTTTTCTACACTTGCCCCATGAATTGAAACATAAATGTTAGGTACTATTTAGTTGACTATTTTTCACTTGCTCCGTCTACCGGGGCAAGTGCATAATTAAAAAAATTTTTTTGTGTTTTAAGTAATGAAAGTAGCACAGTTTTAAGAACATATTTAGTTTCTTGGTATCTTATATAATGGATATAATCTACTACTAAGGTCATAAATAATAAAATATAAATGCATTAATCAGTTAAAGTTGAACTTGTAAATTAGGTGTTTCACTTACCCCACCTGACCTTATTATATTATGTTCGGTCATAAGGGTCGCACGTTATTATATTATTATATGATTGTATTTTATTTAAAGTCGTGAAACCTTTATACAAAAAGTTACCAATAGAAACTGTTTTACCATATTTTTTTATTATTTGTCTTATTATACACACATGTATACACAAATACACATAATCCACAACAAGCCCTACATAGCCGACAGCAATTGCTAGGCGATCCCGACCACTACTGTTCGAGCTATTACACCACTACACACCCAGCTAGTCCTCCATAATATATTTCTTAGACCTAGGTGTCAGTGGCGTAAAAAAAAAGAGTTTGGTGTCCGGACTTTGAAGTCAATGTTCACTTTTCGTAAGCCGCACCACTATTGGTATAAATACTAGGAACTATACTAGTATTTATAATCTATTACCGTACTATAGCTAGAAGCGGACATAGCAAGGAATTAGATATGTATTATTTATACAAAAGTTTTCAATTCAATTCATCAGTTACCAAACTGAAAGCATTTGGTGTTGTGCACCTACCATAGGTGCTGTATAGAATAAAAGTAACCACTACTCGACTAAAGTTTAGCCTTTAAATTGTATAATAAGTAATTTCTTTCCAAACTGGGCCACAGTATAATGCTCAATAAAAAATAAGTTAGATATCAAAAAAGTGTATTGAATAACCAAGCTAATCTTTTCTGTGTTTAACTAGGTCTATTTTTAACGCGATTACGGTATATTATTACAATTATTAAAATGCATTAATAATTTTTAAGACGTATATTAAGTATATTGATCAAAAACTGAAAATAACAGGAATCACGTGTCCCGTCATATCGATTCTGTACACATATACAAATATTAATTTCATTACAATCAATCGCAGTAAATACTAAATAATTGATATTTGATTTGTGGCGTTGGCATTATTAAACGGTTTAAACCTAAACAGTATTGTACTTTGTACTTACTATGGCACAAAGTGTTTCTCTATAAATTATATAAATTTAATATTTCATTGTAATTATAATGAGTATTCCAAATATAAATTTGTACGATCTAAAAGAATTGTCTATACGCAATGATGGATTTCCACGGTAGCCTAGGGATGAGGTGACACTTTAAATGATCGAATAAGGTTTATAGGCACAATACGTTATTTATTCGTCAAGATGGTATTCACAGGTCCACTCATAGAACAAGAGCCGGCTGTGAAATCAGACGTCGTTGGCGAAGTCCGGGCCCCCACCACCTGCCATCCGACTGCAGCGCGTCGTGCGGATGACAAACGAGCCGAAGCGGCCGGTATTGCGGCGAAGCCGAAATACCGACAGCGACAGAATTAGCATTGATAGAAATGCTGCAAAAACTGAGTTGCATTGTACACGGAACCGAAATGCGTAAGAGGACATAAAATTAATTTGACACTTGATGAAGCTTCCCTTGATAAATACAAGTGGAAATGCAGAAAAAAACTAAATAAAAAAAATAAAACTTGTAACTAAAGGTAAATATTATAACTAAATTAAACCATCTTACATTTTAATAATTATTAACACAAAACTAAACTTAAAATATAAATCAAACAAATTGTAGTATATCGTTGAGGAAAAACACATTTTTTGCCAATTCGCACATGTCGTTGTTAGACATTTGTGGTTTTGTAAATTTGTAGGTAATGAGCTGCTCATTCCCAGTGCTCCAACAACAAATTAGGCTGGCAAAAAACCAAACTATTGTGGATTCGGCATCCTCCTGTCGAGAAGTGGAATATGATTACATGATTGTCCGAAAAGTCATTATTGGTGGTCAATGGTCATGGACACATCGTCGAAATCGACAAGTCTAAATTCGGAATAATCAAGGATTGGGTGAACTCTGGTACAACGATTATATCAGATTTTTGGAAGGTATTTTTTTATTTTTTTATTTTTTTTTTTGTTGGATGGACGCATAAACTTTTAAATGCCTAATTTTAGGCGTACAGTACTTTAAACAACAACGTTCGTATGAGTTCACTCGAACACTATTGAAAGTAGTTGGAGGCATGCAAGCTTCAATGTCGCAATATTGTAGAAAAAAAGAGTTTTTCGCGGGTTTTATGTTTCTAAAAAATGCCGAGCCTTTAAATTAAACGCCATAACTGAGTTTTTCAAACAAGCTGGAATTTTATATAGTGCAGGGCAGGGCAGTGTAGGGCGTACAGGCGACGTAACAGAACATGACAACAGCGACAACGTCAGTGGCGGCAACGGCAACATCATTAATAACGACAATGATGCACCGGGACATTCTTTTTGCTTTATTGATTTTTAATCAAGTATGGCAATTAAAATGAAAAAAGTCTGAATTTTGAAAACTTCAAGAATTTGTGTTAAATAGGAAAATAATAAAAATGTAACTCGGTAATGATTAGTAGGTGGGTAATTTAACTTGAATATAAAATATTAATGAGAGAGATTTGATGTCACACCCAAGCAGTATAACCACTTGAATCCATGAACAGTCTCAACATTTCTATGTATTAACTTTTATCCTAAACTATGATAGCTAAAAAATTAGTTGAAAACTCATTAAAAAGGGATTATCAAGTAGAAACTAAAAGTGAAACTAAAAAAAAAATTATTTAATTTTTCACTGATAAAAAGAGTTATTTTTCGCTAGGTACATTTCCGAAACTGGAGAACGGATTTTATTGTTTGGAGTCTTGTTGGATTCACATTGGCTAGGATAAGTGCAGTGAAGATTTTCAGAACTTTATCTTCAATCGTTAATTCACTATCAATCTGTAAAACTGAAAAACATAAAAAAATCTCCCAATAAAATTTGTTTTAATTTTTTTTTAATGTTCTGTAATGAATTAACTATTAAAGGTAAAGTTCTAAAAATTTTCACTGCACTTCTCTTAACCAATGTGAGTCCAACAAGACCTCAAACAACGAAATCCGCTCTCTGGTTTCGGAGATCTATCTCACTAAATGAAAATGAAAATGATTTTTTGTGGGGCTGTTCACACTGACATTTTTCTGGATTCAAATTGTTATACCGCTTGGGTGTGATATCAGTTAATAAATTTCTAAAAATTAAAAATCAAGAAAGTTTTCATGGCGATCCCTGACTTGGCAAGCCTTTTTTAATTAAAAAAAAGCGGGTAAGTGGATGTCGCTCTGCTGTGCGTAGGTTACAAGTTGGTAAATGTATAATGGGTTGTTTTAAATTTGAATTCAATGATATCATATCATTGTATACGAAAATGTGAGTGCCTTTGTACTCACGAATGATGTGTAAACATCTTAACTGTAGTAAGACTTTGATTGGGGAATATAATATCATGGTTTGAGTGGGAATTTGTATAATACATATTATACGATACAAACACGGTTTCGCGCGTATACGTAAACGAGAATAATAAATAATATTAATAATAATAATGAATCAGCCGACGACTGTACCAGAGCGCGTTTGCACCTACCAGACTCGTGAAAATAACAAAGAAAATAATAGATAAGCAACTCGCCTGGTTTATTGGTTCTGCGATTTTAGCGCTATGTCGACGACACACACACTCAAGCAGTCACATCTACATGACTTACGCCTGACGCTCGATTCCCCAAGAAGGTCGTACTACAAACCGATAGCATAAGCCGCGTCCACACTAGAGCACGCACAGACCGAGCATGTGTACTAGAGCACGCAAGAGCGATTTTGACGCACGGCGAACGCGAGCCGATCTAGTCGGCTCGCGTTCGTTGTGCGTCGTGAGCACACATGCTCGGTCTGTGCGTGCTCTAGTGTGGACGCGGCTATAGATGTTTACACATCAATAAAATTAAAATAATATTTAAAAAAATATAAAGTTAGCAATAAAATAATGTAAACTGACATGGCCACATATTAATTAATACCAAACTAATAAGCAATTGATATTATCCTAACAGCCATGGCTGTAGTACAGAGCACGGTTGTATATATACAACTGTAGTACAGAATAAATAAAATAAATCACAATGCTAATCAAAGTTATGTCGTAGTATAGTCAGTGATTACACGTTTAACGGCACTCGTCGCGGCGCGCTGAAATATTTAACTTCATTAGACCATAATTTCAAAACTTAAGTAGGTACGTGTGCCAAATTCGGACTTCACCATAATTTTCAGTTAACTTAACTACATAAGTTTCAGATAAAAAATTGCAAAAAAAAAGGGTGCCCTGTAAAGTAGAAATTTACCGTAAGTTATTATAATTAATGCATCAAAACTAGAACTATGAATTTCCTTAATACCAATTCTTTTTTTTCTATGAATCAATTTGGTTTTATTCCAGGTAGATCTATTAACGATGCACATTTTTTTGTAAATAAATTCATTCACGAGAATCTTGATATTGGTAATAAAGTTATGGGCATTTTTCTTAACGTTAAAAAAGCGTTTGACAGTATTAATCATGAGTTACTACTAAAAAAATTAAATTATGCAGGTATACGCGGAAAAGAAAATGATTTTATTAGATCTTACCTCACTGATAGGATTCAAATAGTCAAAATTAATGATTCATATAGTTCACCTTTAAAAATAAATCATGGTGTTCCTCAAGGAACCGTTTTGGGACCTATCTTTTTTATTATATATGTTAATGGTTTGCTTAATATTAATATTGATTCAAAAACAATTTGTTTTGCAGATGATACTATCATTCTTATTCAAGAAAAAAATATTGAAAAATTATACTAAAAAGCTAATAATATATTTAAAATAGTAAAATCATGGTTCAACAATAATTTTCTAGATCTAAATTTAAATAAGACTAAACATATTATTTTTAATATTCAGAATGTTAATCATGACATTCAATGGAATTTAAACATACAAAATACCTCTAACCCAAATAGTAATTTGGATAATTGTACATTCATAAATATTGATAGAGTCTATTCTATCAAATATTTAGGAATATATATTGATTCTCAACTAAAATGGAACATACATATAAACTATATTACAAACTTAATTCGTAAATTCTTTTATGTTTTTAGAGATCTTAGGTACATACTTGATAAACATCAACTTAGAATTATATATATTTCCCTAGTTCAATCAATTATTGCATTTGGTATCGAGATATGGGGTGGTGCTTATGAAATTCATTTGATCAAATTAAAATCGACTATGAATAAGATTATTAAATTTATTTTAAAACTTTCTATGCTTACTTGTACTACATGTATTTATAAAGAACTAAATGTCTTAGACATCGATAAACTTCTTATTAAATGTACCTTGCTATTAAGTTTTAAACATAAAATGTACCTACCTCCTTGTAATCATGATTACAATACGAGATTTAGGAAAAATATAAATGTAACTATTCCAAAATGTAACAAACAATTTGGATATAAAAGTTGCCTAAATCGAGCACTTACACTATATAATAGAATGTCAATTAATGTTAATAATTTCAGTAATTTTAAGCATTTTAAATCTTATATAATGAGTCAAATAAGTTTTCTTTAAGGTATTAATTTGATTTCTAAATTTACGTTTTGTTTTGTTTTTTTTTTTTTCTCTTTCTCTTTTTAATAATAATTTAATATTAGAACTGATCGGTGTAAACTTTAGATATTAAGATATTATGAACTCATCACCTTCAACACAAGCAATTGCTTAAAGAAGGTGTCAAACAAATGTTCCTATAGCTTTATTGTACCATATCTTCAGTTTCCAAAAAATTAAAATAGGTAAAATTACTAAATTATTACAATTTGACTAATATATTATTTTCTTTGTATGAAGATTTTGTTTAGTGCATACAAAGATTAAAACACTATGTATAACTATGATTTTATATTATATAGTTATGGTATTTTGTTTCAATCACCCGCATAATAAAAAAACGGTAATAATGTGTAGGAAATCCCAAATGCGTGCCCGTGTGTTTGGATGTTTTATGCTTAATCCTTATACATTATACAGGGATGGAAAACTTTTTTTTTTTTTTATTAGAAATAAGGCTTCACATCACCGGTCATTAGCCAGTGTAAAAGAGATAAAAGTAAAGTTAAAAATAATAGTTAATTACAAATTGTATTGGTCTTAAAAATACGGAGCAAGATTTGTACAATATTAAAATTTATTTATGAGATTAATATTGGTTATAAACTTATAAATGTAATAATTTTGGTGATATTTTTTTCATTTGGTGCTTCTTAAAACGTTTTTACTAAAAGTTATTAAACAATTAGAAAACGAAAACAGTTAATAAAATAAAAACAAAAGACAACTATAAAGCGAAAACTATGATAAATTATAGTGGGTACTACGAACTATGATTATAATGGACTACTGTACAACAGTATAGAGGCTGGTTTACACTTATCAAAGTAACCACGTACGAGTACCACGAATTGGTGCCACCACGAACTATGATTATAATCACGGTTATCTACTAAGATTGGAGCACGGCACGTTATCACATGTACAAGTTGTGTGACTAGTGAACTAAAAGCGCTAGTAGTAGTCGACCCGATTTTTACATGTAAAACATACAACAGATTGTAGTTTTGTACTTAAACAAAAAAGCAGTTAAGTTCAGTAAAAAATTGTTTTAAGTAAAAATGTTGAATATTAAATTGTTCATTGATTCAACTTGGTTTGAATTATTTAGTTAACAGATAAGTCTGTAAATTAGGTTTTTATAAAATAAGCTTAGGGAAACATTTCATGAATGAATGTAACTCACATATTCAATTCTGAAAATAAATATTTTTAATTTTATAACATTTTTAACAAATTTAATCACATTTTGCAATCGATCATTTGCACTCCCAATCATTCCATGAATTGTATGTTAAATTCTCGAATCCTAGAAACACTAATTATTTTTATTTCAACATATTATATATATTTTTTTTAAGAATTATACACTAATTGTAGATGGTCAATAGATTTTCTATTTTTCTAGGTTAAACATATTTTTTAGAAAGATACGAGGGACCATAAACATAGTAGGAATGGCTCCTTCAACAAGTCTCCATTGTTTGTATGGAATCTAATATAAATTTAAAATAAATACTTTAGATGATAACATTTAAAAAAAAATCACAAATATTAGGTAACTTACTTTAACATCACCCGAAGACCAAAACTTTATTATGTCTTTTTCATTAAAATGCTTGGCACAAACATATGTATTTTTCGTAAATACCAAATCTTTTCGAGGTATTGCTTTTCCCCACTTTATTCTTAGATCTTCATTTTTCGGCACACAAAATTGGTGAACTTTTTCAGTATTACTCTTATACCCCGAAGTACACCCAACCACGCAACATTTGACCATTTTATAAATCTTTAATCTTATATTCTTATGCTACCAAATTTAAAAACAAAGACACTAACACAAATACTCGAAAAAATAATAAATATCGAGGAATACTATCAGCTCGTTTTTGGAGGGAAAACATGATACCAATTTTCTATCACAATACACATAATATTTTGTTTTTAAATACTTTATTATAGTAATTGAAAATTTAAAGTCATCAAATCTATAAAAATAAAATTCATTATTAAAATTAACTAACTTATTTATTGAGTGTATAGCACAAATGTTTTCAACAACTCTTCTTTTGTACTTGGGGTTTTTATGCTCTTGTAGTAAACCGACGTTTTTACACAAAAACGGCGTTCCAAAGGTTAGGTGGCCTGAACAACATCACGCCACCAAAATAGGCCACTGAGGCTGCCGCCTCATTGGTTAATACTGATCGACTACGCATCACGCCATTCCTATGACGTCAATCATCCTTTCCTAAATCCCGGGCATGTCTCATATAAATAGGGGCCCTGTTTCACAGACTTTTTAGACATAGAAGTAATTTCCAGTGCTTAACAATACTTGTGTGGGTCGCGGACTAGAAACAGCCGCATTGCCGTCCACATCAAGTATAATTTCAATTACAACTATTCTCCGGTAGAATTATTATTCTGTCGACAAATTTTACATTACTTTAAATTAACTATATTATTAGTTTCGTGTCAATAAACATTATATCTATAATTAATTACATTTTGTGTTAAACTATTCTTACTCTACCTTCACTTCAACCACCATCCTCCGATTCATTGCGACGACGTGTACGTGCATTCGTCGTTAAAGAAGTGTGCAGTAACCAATCAAGTGAGAGCGACGGGCCACTACATAAAATTTGGTGTCAGGTGTGGGGTTTCACTTCATCAAACGAAAACTTTTCGAGACGTCGGAAAAAAGTACTTTGAGACCCACCGACGAAACCACGTTCACAACGTCAAGGAGGAGTGAGGACAGTAAGAACATTCAATCAAGAGCATTCAATCAAGGGCAGTCCAGGAAGGACGTTTTCAAAAATCAATTTTTTCACGGGCAATTAAGACTACAGGATGCAAAATTTGTAAGTCATTTGAATAAAATATTGTATGTCTGTAGATAGATCTAATTGGCAAATCGTTGCGTATAATCCCGTTACACTAATAATTAAAATGGCTAATCCAGATCAATTAAGTTTAGAAGGGGCAATCAAGTTAGTACCTTCATTTTCGGGGGGATCAGAATCGGATTTAGCTTCCTTTTTGGCTAAATGCGAATTCATTTTTAAGAGTATCCCTAATACTTTGAAACCCATTATTTTAGAAGCCATAATAACCCAGCTAAAAGGTAATGCATTCGAGGCCGTTAGGTATAAGGTAATTACCACCTGGGACGAATTAAAAAATTTATTTAAAACCGTTTTTGGTTCGGCACATTCAGTGTCGTACTTACAGGTACAATTAAGTCAGATGCGCCAAAATTCAAAAGAATCTGTTAAAGAGTTCTCGATTAGGATCGAAAAAACTGCACACGAATTAACACACGCGTTAACGGTAGATAAAGACCCAGCGCAAGTAAATATTATAGCTCAAACAGTACAAGCGCATGCACTAAGCGTATTCATAGCGGGAGTCTCACAATCTATCGGAATTATATTAAAAGCGCGCAATATTCAAGTATTCGAAGTAGCAGTTTTACACGCAATGGAGGAGGAAAAATCCTCCGAATATTATAATAACGCGTTCGGGAATAATCATTTTCAGAATAATAAAAATAAATTCGATAAAAAAAAGTTCAACGATAAAAGCGCGGTTAAATGCCACCGTTGCGAGCGAGTAGGTCATTACGCAAACGAGTGTAGAACTAGCGAACATAAATTACCTACTTTTAGAAATCCGAACAGCGGTCAAAGTCCGAAGACAGAAATTAAACGCGAATATTCTAGTAAATTCTGCAAATATTGTAAAAAAACTAATCACGACATTAGTGAATGTCGGAAATTAAAATATAATGAAAAAAAGAAACTCGAGGAGAAAAATAATAGGAGCGATCAAAATAGATCCATCGAAGAAATACAATCGGGAAGTAACGTACGCGTAATAACGCCTATAACGCGGGAACATATAAAATGTTTTTCCGATAAATTTGTTAAAAGCGAAATCAAATTTTTAATTGATAGCGGTTCTGAAATGAACATTATAAAAATTTCAAGCTTAAAAGGGCATATAATCGTAAACGAAAAAGATAAGAAAAAAATTAAAGGTATTCATGCAAGTCCAGTAGAGACAGTGGGAACAGTAGTGATTCCAATTTATATTAACAAACAACCTTTCGTAGTAAAATTCGACATTGTGCATGATAATTTTCCAATACCCGAAGCAGGTATATTAGGCATATCATTTTTAAAACTAAATAAGGTAGTTTTGGATTGGGATAAAGAAGTATTAATAATCCCAGAAAAAGTAATTAATAATGCACTAATTATTCCGCCGAGGAGTAATTGTGTATTACAAATCCCACCAAAAACATATATGTAAAATGAGAGCCAAGTTCAATACTATAATATATGCCTTGGTTGCTGACTTCAACGACAAAAGAAGTGAGATCTAAATGGGTGCCAAGTTAGGATAATATATTGAAGCCTAAGGTGTGACTTGGCTACTTTTCATATACGAATTATTATTATAAGTACCTACTAAAACAGTAATGGAAGAGTGAAGATGATTTTCCGAAGAATAAAATAAGAACTCAAAGCTTTAGAACTTGCAAATGCTATAATATATAATTCGTAGCCAAGTCAGACCTTAGGCTTCAATATATTATCCTAACTTGGCACCCATTTAGATCTCACTTCTTTTGTCGTTGAAGTCAGCAACCAAGGCATATATTATAGTATTGAACTTGGCTCTCATTTTACATATATGTTTTTGGTGGGATATCATTACTTTTTGTATGTAAATTATTATAACCTAACCTAACCTAGCCATGACGTATTCTATAAATAAAGTTTATTACTATATAATATAATTCAGTTACTAATATTAATAATAATATTTATTATAAAATATTTTCCGTTGTATATACAGAGTATAAAATATATGTAAAATTAATATACAATTATTTTAACTCTTTTTGAGTATATTTTTAATTATCATAATTTTATTGACTGTAGTTTCTACTGTTGGGTGGATAATTCATAATTTGTAAGAATAATTATTTAATTATTTTAATTGTAATATTTAAAAAAAAATAATATTAATTACATACATAGATAGAAAAAAAAGTATGTTGCTGCCCACGGGTCGACAATATCGACACATATTCGGCTAGTCGTATTTTTGGAGCGGCGATACGGGAAAGGTTATTTAAGTCAACATTATATTACATTACATTAAATTAGAGGCAATTCATTAATAAATTGAAAAATTAAACATAATAGATAAAATAATTGCAAAATTATAATAAAATCAATTAATTAAAAAATTAAAAATTTAAAAATTAAAAATTAAAAATTAAAAAATTTTAAATTAAAATTTTCAAGTTTCTGATTTTTTCCTTTGTATTTACCTAACTACCTATCTGTATGCCAAATTTGAACTTTCTAGGTCATCTGGAACTGGGTTAGAATTTTGATCTATAGGTAAGTCAGTGATAAAAATGACGATTTTCGGACGTTAATATCTAAATAACGGTTTGAAGTGTGTTTATGAAATTTAGAGCACATATGTATCTCGTTAGTCTCAATATATGAGCCAAATTTGACATGTTTATGTGAAATAGTTTTTGAGTTATGAGTTGGTCAAAAGTGGCTCCAAATGGTTCGTGTAATATTACACACGGTGCTGCTCGCCAGTTCTGTTAGCTAGAACTTGGCTTGACACGCTACCGCGTGTCTAGATAAAAGCCGACGAAGAAATCAATTGCGAAGCAATAACGATAAAGAAATATGAAATTAATGAAGACGTAATTATAGCTAATAGTATCAGTCCGGTCAAAGGTGATAAAATAATAAGTAATATAATAAATATATCCGAACAACCGTTTATAATCGAACAATTAACCACGAGTAATTTTAAATGGGAACCGTACCACGATAACGTTTTTATTGCTAGCGAAAGCAACAACTACTCTTCGAATAGAATTAAAAGGATCAAAGAAACTATTAATACCGAGCATCTTAATCACGAAGAACGCGATAACATATTAGACCTGTGTAGTCGTTTTTCTGATCTATTTTTTCTCGAAGGCGATCTTTTGAGTGCAACTGATATTGTTACGCATAAAATTAATACACCTAGGTGTGTTAAACCGATTAACATACGTCCATATAGGCTACCGCACGCGTACCAGGACGAGATAGAAAAACAAGTAAAAGAAATGAAAGACGCGAATATAATACGTAATTCATTATCACCATTTAATTTTCCACTAGTGGTAGTAAAAAAGAAAAAAGATCTGAACGGTAACCAAAAGTTACGAGTATGTGTAGATTTCCGAAAATTAAACGAGGTTACGGAAAATGAAGCATACGGCTTACCGAATATATTAGAGATACTAGAATCCTTAGGCTCATCTAAGTACTTCTCTACACTAGATCTTGCCAGCGGTTATCATCAAATAATGATTGATAAGGGAGACACCCACAAAACAGCATTTTCTACAAAATCAGGGCATTATGAATTTTTACGTTTACCATTTGGACTTAGTTCTGCGCCGGCAACTTTTACTCGAGCCATGAAATCTATTTTAATGGGCTTGGAAGAGTTATGTACGGCGTATCTAGATGACATTGTAGTCCACGGGTCAAGTTTAGTAGATCACCAGAATAGGTTAGAGCAGGTGTTTACGCGATTAAGACTGCATAAACTGAAATTGCAACCTAGTAAATGTATGTTTCTACGTAAAGAGGTGTTATATTTAGGGCACGTGATCAGCGAAAACGGGGTAACGCCTGATCCAAACAAATTAAGTTGTATTAAAGAATATCCGAGACC